TTTCACATTTTGGGAAATGACCTTAGCCTCATCTTTGGAATAAATTATTTCAAAATGAAAAACTGAAACATTGTTTCACACCCCAAAATAAGACAGGTTAGCCTTTTGCATTTTTCCTCTTTGGCTGATTCTTTATTTGCTGATTTTCACTCAAATTCACAAGCAGTTTTGTTTGGCCTCAACGTGCATTTTCAGCTGAATTAGTACTCTCCAGTATTTTTTCTGTCTGTGTCTATTTGGTGGTTCCTTTACTAAGTGAGCTTACTGGAGGAAAACTGTCTTTTCTCTAAGAAATTCCACGCCACGTCTCACTTTCTCTATCCTAGTGTTCAAAAGATGCCCTTTTTAAAAACAGTTTTACGCTGGATGCATCTGTGCCCAGAAAGCAGTTATTTAGATGATGCCTTCTTTCTTAGGTAAACACCTGATTTGATTTTTGTGAGGGCAATTGAGGGTGAACATTTTTTAAAGCTACTCAATGAATTAAGGCGAGCGCGAAGGGTTTCAGCTGTTCCTCCTGCTGTCCCTGCCACTGCCATCGCTTTCGAAGAGCATCAGCAAAATCATTGGGTGTGTTAAGGCGGGTGCTCACCCTGCGCTCGTCCTGGGTCTGCTCGGTGGCTTGCTGGGCACAGGGAGCCCCGTCCCCCTCTCAGTGGGGCACAAATTGTCAATAGGCTTCTGCACTCGTCTGTTGCACTGTTTTTTTTCCAAGCATTCATTTTACTCCCTTATTAATTTCTTGCCACCTTTGGCTGTTTCATGAATGACTGAAGGAAATCTCCCCTTACTGCCACCACCTCGTACCTCTGGGAGTTCCTCAGCTACAAAACCGTGCTCTTTGTTAGTCTCTTCTGGATAGTTATCTCTGCAAAACCCTCCAAAACATCAGGGGCTTGTAGGGAATGTAGTGCTGTCTGTCTGAGCCTATGGATTAGCAAAGGTAAAAACGCTATCAGGGTGAGACGCCCTGCTCGCCTTAGTGCATGTCTGACACTGAATCCCAAGGGAAGGGGTGGAAGGGGAGCTTGACAGCAGCAGCAGCTAACCTGGCCGGGCCGGCCCGGCTGCC